CTGGCCGCCATGAGCTGGGTGAAGACTTTGTAGACATGGTTCTGAGAAGCTGAAGGTCATTGTGGTCATATTACATGGCAGAAATCAGGGTGCTGGTTGCCAGGCGTGTCTTGAAACAGTACCCAGAGAGCTTCTTGTGACTCTTCACGGCCAAGACTCTTCATACCCCCAAATGAACTTCTAGACCCCCTGGGAAGATCATGTTGAAAATGAAAAACAAAACTTCCCTGAAAATTTTTGTCACTGTAATAATGAGTTTTGTTTCCTTGGCAGCGGAGAACCCACAGTGGGAAAGGGGTTTTCCCCAGCATCTAGTAGGACCCAGGATCTTAGACCCTGGGTAGTCAATATGCAAATAGTTGAAATTCACAGGAATTCCAAAGCCTCCCTGCCCTGGGAACTCTAGAAGGAAGAGTAAGAGGTCTGAGCTCAGCCTGGCATTATCAGTTGGAGGCAGTGAAACAACTCTAAGGCCAAGAGAGGAAAGAGTAAATATCATTTCTAGAGAATTCATGTCATTCAGGGGACAGAGTCAGGATGAGGCCTGCCCACACATACCATCAGGTGCTTTCTAAATGGCAGGGCTGCATCTCCCTTCTAATTGTCCTTTCCTGGAGGGCTCTCTATCACACACCCAGTCTGTAACTGTCTTAATTTCTTTTTTTTTTTTTTTTTTGGTACTAGGGATTGAACCCAGGAGTTATTAACCACTGAGCCACATCCCCAGCCCATTTTTATTTTTTATTTTAAGACAGAGCCTCACTAAGTTGCTGAAGCTGGCTTTGAACTTGTGATCCTCCTGCCCCAGCCTCTGGAACCGCTGGGATTACAGGAGTGTGCCACCACATGCTGCATAATTTCATTTTTGATATTTTTCATTGTATAAATATTTGTACTAGGATGAATTTTAATTTATGTGCCTTTCTTTTTCATGGCTTCCAGGTTTTGTGTCTTGCTCTCTCGACCCAGGATTATAAAAAATACTTTTACAACTTTATACTTTAATTTTTTTCCTTAACAATTTAAAACATAATTTATTTTGCTTTTTGCAAAGTAAAACTATGAGTGGATTGAATATCAGTGGGGCTGAAGAACTTAACTGAGCAGCAACTGCAGGCCTGCTCCTAGAACAAACTCCTTTGAACTCTTTCAACTGATTTTTCCTTTTGATCATCCAGGAGCTCAGACTTTGGTTTTCTTTGTGCTGTCTCATACATTACCTCCATCCACTTTGCAGTCTCCAAAAATTTACCCTAGAAATCTTTGGTCCATAGATTATTCTATTCTCATTGTGATTATGGACATATTCTCTCTTATGTGTGTGTGTGTGTGTGTGTGTGTTTATGCATGTGCACGCAGTAGGGATTGAACCCAGGGGTACTTTATCGCTAAGCTTGATTCACAGCCCTTTCTATTCTTTTTTTTTTTGAGATAGAATTTCACTAAATTGCCAAGGTTAGCCACAAACTGGCAATCCTTCTGCCTCTGCCTCTGGAGTTGCTGGGTTCACAGGTATGTGCCACCACACCCAGCAACCAAGTAATTATATATATATAATATTTCATAAATATATTTATAAATTTGCATGTATTAATGCACCACATCCTATTAGTGCAAAGTCTTGGAAGAGAGGCTTTCTGTATTTTACAATCAGGAAGCAGGAACCAGCTGTAAAGTACCTAACACGTGGCGCTTTCCTTCCAGCCTCTCTGATAAATTCACACTGAGGCACTGATGGCAAAGATTGTTGAACACATGCTTCCCCAGAACACAGCGGATTTTACTGGAACTCTTAAAACTTGAGTGTGTCTTGTGGCCTTTGAAATGTTTGCTCAAATATTGTCAAATGAAATTTATGAAACTGTGAATTTCCTTACTCATTTAAAAGACATCTATAATTTTACATTATTTTAAATATCTACAAAAGATATAATTTCCCACATGTTATGCCATTTTCCTTTTAGAGAAAAGTTACATCGTTCTTAAACATAATGTGCAAAATCGAAAGTGGCACAAATTTGGCAAAAATACCTTTTCTAAGATCTGGATAAATGTTCAAGAGAATATAAAACACACACTTACCTCTGATATATACCTTTTACTTGAAAATGTACTGTTGCTCTCCTAGAGGTAAGGCAGAAGCTGTTACATCCTTCCTCCTGGTAATTATTCAAATATGCATCTGAGACACAGGCCAAGACCTGGGTGAATGAGAGTGCTCATCAGGCCCCGTCTTATAGAGAAGATGAATAATGTAGTGTGGTCCTTGCACCACAAGGTGTGCGGCCTTCTTTCCATAGCTTCAATATTCCAAACTGGAGGCAAATAGAGCAGTCGTCCTCAAAGCCCTGCCACACACACCCCCTTTTTTTTCTCTCTCTCTCCCAGGCTCTGTTTGCTCTTCTGGCTGTTGGGGGTGGGGGTGGGGGCTAGTTTCTGTGACCGTGCACAGGAAGTAGGAGAGACAAAGTTCATTGAATAAAAGCTGCCATTATCCTGCTATCCCAGTCTACAATACATCTATTTCCAATGCCATTTTCTACTTAGTAAAAATATGGACAAAACAGGAGGGACACAAAACCCTACCTTGGGCACATGTTATCTTGATTTAAGGAGACCAGATTGATTAAAACACTACATTTCAAATTGTGCCTTTACTTGACACACCCTGAAGTATTTTGTATTTTTTTTCCCCGAACATTTTACCACAATCAGATTCAAATTGGGTAAAGGATAAGCGTTTCTTTTTAAATAGGGAGAAGGCCAAAAAATCCTTCTTGCCATAGGAAAATTTTAGGAAGGAATACATAAAGAAAGTGAAAATATGGAAACTGATTCTTTTAAAATTATTGAAACCCTATACCCTTTGAAAATGGTCAGGTGCCCCACAGGATAGCAGTAACTCAGTTTGAAGACCCAGCCTTCCTTAACTCAAATGAATGCCTCTTCTGGCAGGGAAACACATGAACTGGTGGCTGCCAGCAGAAGGGATTCTTGGGAAGTGGACCTGTTAGATCACATCATATGAGCTGCCACTCACTCTGCAAAAGATTTGCCTTACATGCCGACAATGATTTGCAGAGGTGTGGGATGTATCCTTTTTAGAGAAGGTCCATGCTGGCCATCCCCAGGCCTGAGCAGAGCCTAAGCCCAATCCCCATGTGGAAAAATCTTTATTCTTCCATTTTGAGGATATTTTCACATCTCCCTACACTAGGCACATCTGTAGGCCTAACACCCCTGTTTTTTACTTAAAGAGATCTCAGTGCCTACGATAATGCTGACAAACATAGAATGCGTAACAGCTCAAACTGTGAAATTTTTTTTTCAAAAAAAGCTTGTTTTCTAATAGCTTTAAGTCAATAGTTCAGATGTTTCTGTATTATATTACCATGTTTGCCACATTTATGCACCATATCTACTATCATTTTCTTTTTTTCTTTCTCTAAATTCACCTTACAACATTTTTTTTTTTTTGGTACCAGGATTGAACCCAGGGGTGCTTAACCACTGAGCCACATCCCCAGCCATTTTTTAAATTCTTACGTTTTTGAGATAGGGTCTCACTAAGTTGCTTCACTAAATTGCTTCACTCAGTTTGCTCACTAAATTCCTAAGGCTGGCTTTGAACTTTTTTTAAAAAATAGTTTTCACTGTGTATGAACCTTTATTTTTATTTATTTATATGTGGTGCTGAGAGTCGAATCCAGTGCCTCACACACGCTAGGCAATAGCTCTACCACTGAGCCACAACCCCAGCCTTGGCTTTGAACTTTTGATCCTCTTGCCTTAGCCTCCTGGGTCGCTGGGATTACAGATATTCACCACCACGCCCAGCTCACCAACACATCATACTACTTTTGCAATTTTACTTTAGAAGGAAAATTATGTTTCTCTAACATACCAATACCTGGTCTTAGTCTAGATTCTCTGGAAAGCAAAGCTAGAGAGAAAGTCCTGAGTAAAACAGTTTGTTTGAAAAATTGAGCCCAGTGATGGAGGACAGAGAGCGAGACAGGGAAGGAGGGAAAGCCAGTGCAAGAAGCCTTGCCAGGTTGACCACCCTCAAAGCAATGGGTATTCAACCCACCTGGGCCTTCTGGGAAGTCTCATGAAACGTCTCTCAGATGCTCCACCTGGGAGCAGCTACTATCTGTTTCCAGCCCCCTTTGGTCAAGTGAAGGCCCTGGGCTCTGACTTCCTCACGTTGGGTCCACATGCTTGAATGCAGAACCCCCAAGGGTCTCTCCATGCCAAGGCAACAGAGAAGGTCTTGGTGGAGCCAGAAATAGATTGAGAAAAAAGAACAGGCCCCTGCTGGGGGCTGTCAGGTTCTACCTACAAAGAGGTTTGTGGTCCAGATTGATCAGAATCCTACATAGAGGGGCATAGGAGTAGTGGGCAGATGGAAATTGTGGTGGGGCGGGGGATAGGAACTGAAATCTTCCTCACCTCACCCCTTGGTGCTATCACCTTGCTCACCTGAGGCGCACTTAACCATGGTAAGAATAAATGGAACCACTGTCCAACTGGCTGCCAGGAGCCAGCTCTGTGAAGATAGAAGGGACATGGGGGCAGAGGGCTGCAGTTAAGGGGGCAGTCTTGTGAGCTGAGCAAACTCCCCAAAGTGGCCACTGTGTGTTGGGTAGATGACCATTCCTGCAGCGGCCTAACCCTAGTGACTAGGAAAGAGTAATTCTGACCATGGAAACAAAACTGGAGACCAGCACAGAAATAATAAGCCCATAAATCTCCCCCAGCATTGCCCAGGCAAGTCTAGGCTGCTCCCTTCCTCAAAATGGTGCCTCTCCTCCTCTCCTCATCCTCAAGCGCCCAGAATCTTTGGTGCTTAGGTTTGCTAGTTGGTGGTGGGGAGGGCAGCTGGGTGACTTGCCCAGGCCACACCCTCCCAGGAGGCTGCTGAGAGAGCAGCAAAGCAGAGGAACCTTCCTAAAACACCCTCTCTAGCCCCAGCTTTGACTTACGTATTTATGAGTGAACTCAGTCCTCTTCAAATAAAGGGAAGTTGGGAGGGGGAAATGCCACCTCTGGTGACTTGCCATTACTTGTGAGACAGCAAGAAGAGAACTTCGCTGAAGCTGGGTGTCATCCTTTGACTTTTAACACAAAAGAGGATTTTTTTTTCTTCAGCAAGTAAGTACATTTACTATTATCTTACTACAGGGTAGCTTGGTAGAATTGGTTACCAACAACTTGACTGTTTCTAGAACAAACACACCACCATGACTGCCTCCAGGGCCCACGTTTGTCCCCAGAAGAGGCTTCTGGAGTCTCTCAGTCCCCAAAGAGTCTGTGGCTTCTCAACGCCTTTAGAGAATCACCTTCAGCAGTGTGGCCCATGACTCTTAAATTTCCGAGATGGTAGCAAATAATTTTGTAGGCTGAATTTGAGTTTTTCATATCAACAAAATCCTGGTGACTAAGTTCCTCCAGGCGGATCCTGGTTGACATGAACTGTGGCTAATGAGACAATCTGGGATGGTGGGAATGTAAGAGGAAAGCCCACACCCTCCGGTCCACAGGGGAGTGAGTTGCTGGGAAGAGACTGAGGGGTGACCGATGAGCAGAGTAGACATTTTCATTTCTCAATTTTGATGCATTTACTGGGGAAAAAAAAAAAAAAAAACCACCCCAGCCTGTTCAAGTTACACCACATGATACAAATAAGCAATGTTTGCACTGTGTCTCTTCTTTCCTCCCTTTTGACTGGTGGAGGTTTCTGTTGATGGCTTTTCTGCCCCTGCAGGAAACATCTGAGTGGTGTTCGAGAATCGAGACGCTGGCTTTTCTGTTAACATGTTGAGAAAGTTGTTTCAGGACTTATGACCGACCCCCTTGGACACACGCAGCCCTGCCGGTGGCTCTGTGTTCCTGGGTATGTCTGGAAGATGATCTGAGCTTTCCAGGGTTGGTTAACAGCTTTTGAAGGTCCTTAGGGTGCTCTGGTGGGAACAAAGTTAACCACACCTAATAACTAGAAAGCCATTTCACAGAAGAGCTGTGGTTGGTTCTTAAAACCGTCAGGGTGACCGATTAAGGTCGCCTCCTCACAGAGTTCTCTCAACCTTTGTTTTCCCTTCGTGCTCACGCCCAGGTTTAGAGGTCACTCAAGTTAAGAGCTCTGACTTATTGTAGGTAGGCGACTGGAGGGTTTTCAACCCACAGTAGACAGACTTTCTTTCCTGGGTGACTTGTACTATTTTCTGTTTCAGCTTCTGGAAATAAATCCACAATCTCTGGAGACTCAAGAGCACTCTCCATCCTTGTCAGTGTGTGTTGGAACCATCTCCCTTGAACCCTCTAAGTGGAACAATTGAATCACCTTCTGCCTCTGCCTGGTGTGCACCACCAGGCCTGCTCTGCTGCCTTGTTTAACTCCCTTTTGTGTGCTAGGAGGTGCCCCAAACCTCTTGGTTCTGGATCACTGGCTTTGGTGGTTCATCCCGAGCCTCTGCATTCATGGATCCCATATTGATGTGGAAGACACTCCCCAAGCTCTCTTGGCTCATGGTGCTGCTTGCTGCTCTTTTCCACTTCTCTTCGGGTAAGCAACGTTCAGGAACTTAACTAAGTCTTCACCTAATATCTCTGGGGTTAAGAGAAAAGTAGAGCTGTTCTCTGTGCCACTGCTTCTGTCACCTTTGAGAGCTAAAATGGACACATTCAGGGTGTTCCACAATGATTTAGAGGTAAGAAACTGGTCCAGAGAGGTTGTTGGATTTATTTACGACCACACAGCAAGTTAGAGGCCAGATTAACTCAAGATTCCAGGCTTTCAAGAAAGAGGTGGGGAGTATGTGTTTTTTTGTTATTGTTGTTGTTTTGTGGGTTTTTTTGGTGCCAGGGATTTAAAACCGGGGCGCCTTCCGCTGAGCCACATCTCACTGAGCCACATCCCCACCTCTTTTTTACACTTTATTTTGAGGTAGGGTCTCACTAATTTGCTTAGGGCCTCGCTGAGTCTGGTTTTAAACCTGGGATCCTCCTGCCTCCCAAGCTGCGGGGATTACAGGCGTGTGCCACCGTGAAGCCGATTCCAAAGACTAGCTTAGAGCTGTGGCCTTTTCAATGAATACTAGGTATTCATTTGCATGTTGTGATGCTCCAAGGTGTTGGCCTTGACGTTTGGTTTCCAAACTACATCTCTATGCTACAGCTCAGCTGATACGTTCTGCCTCAAAAATTGAACAATAATGATCTCTTCAACTGGCAGGGGGCAGGGAGAATGGTTGAGGAATATAATCTTCTTAAAGTTCAATCTTTCTCTTAATATTTATTATTGTGCCTTGTGGGTTAATTGGCCTATGACATTAAGTAGTTTCAGAATTAGGACAAAATTATATTTTAATTATTTTTATTTATTTTATTTTTATTTTTATTTTGATACCAGGGATAGACCCCAGGACTCTTAACCAATGAGCCACATCCCCAGCTCTTTTTTATTTTTTTATTTTAAAACAGGGTCTCACTAAGCTACTTCAGGCCTTGCTAAGTGACTGAGGCTGAATTTGAACTTCTGATCCTCCAGCCTCAGCCTCCCAAGACACTGGAATTAAAGGCGTGGACCGCTGCATCTGGCTTTAGTTATTTTTAGTTGATGATATAAGTGTGGGGGGGAGGCTACGCCCTGTTTCTCAAAAACAGAGAAGACCTGGGTGCCCTCATGGTTTGCCAGTCTGCAGAGCTCTATCAAAGGTCTTTGTCAGTTAAAGTCCTGCCCAGAATCCCTAAGTTTGAAAGGTAGGGAGGGAAGAGGAGCTGGGCACACAGATGACCTGACTGCATTGGTGGTCATTTTAAGTTTTCTTCTCTGAGTTGCAAGGCTTGCTCTTTTATACCATCGCAAAACCAAGAAAACCATGTAAACATTTCACAGTTTACACATCAGATTTTGTATATATTTGATGGTTATATTATTTTTCCAAAAGGTGTAAAGTTACAGTTTTCTTCTGGGAAATTGGGGATGCATTCCCAATCTAGAATCTTAAACCCAGAAATAGGCGTGAGGAGGGAGAACATTAAAAAAGAGAAAGAAGATGGGAGTTCATAACCCACTTGAATCAAATGTATGAAATATGATATGTCAAGAGCTATGTAATGTTTTGAACAACTAATAAAAAAAAAAAGAGAGAGAGAAAGAGGGTGGGGCTGGGGCTCAGTGGTAGAGTGCTTGCCTAGCGCGTGCGAGGCCCTGGGTTCAATACTTAGCACCACATAACAATAAATAAAATAAAACTATTGTGTCCAACTACAACTAAAAAATAATTTATTAAAAAGAGAGAAAGAAACACAAAAGAAAAGCTAAACCAAGTCTTTAGTAATTGTCTCAGAAAAATGAGTCAGAGGCAAACAAAAGAAGAGCTTTGAGTTTAAGAAGGTGCTCAGGAAAGTACCTTGTTCTCTACTTAACATCCAGATTTCGCTGTTGCCAAGTCAACAAACCAATCCGCTAGCATCTGAGGCCTGAACACACACTTTGGGCCAGGTAGGCCATAAAAGATGAGCCTGGAATTCCTGTTCTCAAAGAGCTTTGCATATAATTGGGGAAAGCAAAACTCACCACAAAAAGCAAGCAAAGATCAGTGAGGTCCTGAGTCTTGACTGTAAAAATCTGGGAAGGAGAGTCCAGGGTGGCCTAGAGCAGTGGGAGCAGGCTTGTGTTGATGAAGGATGATTGTTGGAGAGAGGATTCTGGGCAGCACAATAGCCTGATCAAAGGCATCAAGGTGAAGGGCACTGGTAGGACTATTCATTATTTTGTTTAATTATTTAATTCAGTAAACAGTGGGCATCTCCTATGCATAGGATTATTTTCTTGGTCCTCCCAGGTCCTCCTCATATTGTGAGCAAAATGGTCGTGACCCTTGCCATGACCATTTATGGCCATTGGGAGGAAGAAGAGGAGGAATGCACTGAATCACTGCACTCGATGTGTGACCACACAGAGATGAGTGCTTTGAAGGCAAGGTACAGGCACTCTCAGAGGAAGTGCTGGTTTCCCCTGTGAAGGGAACTGCAGAGTGAGCGAGGACCTGCAAAGGGTTAGTGATGGAGCATGTCACAACTGGGAGGAGGTCAAGCCCGGGGCCCTTCAGGACTTGCAGACCACAATCAGGAATCAGAGTGTTATTTGCACAGCACCAGGAAACCATGGGAGAGTTTTAGGCAAGAGACTGGCATGGTCTATGTTGGTGCTGTTACTTGATTTATGCGTATCAATCACCAGGGGGTCTTGTTAAAAGTGCAGTTTCTAGCACAGGGAATTTTTTAGAGAAGTGAAACTGATTTGCAAAATACTACAATGATGGTTATAAGTCTTTATATATTTTTTTAAACCCATCGACATAAATCACCAAGAATGAATTCTGAAGTGAACTGTGGACTTTGGTGATAGTGATGGGTCAGCACAGCTTCTTTGACTCTACCTACTATTCCACTCTGGTCTAGGATGTCGATGGTAGAGGAGGCTATGAATGTATGGGGAGGGAGTCCATGGGAAACCTCTGTATTTTCCACCCCCTTTTTCTATGAACCTAAAACTGCTCTGAAATATGACGTCCATTTTAAAATTTTATTCTAAGTGGTGTTTCTTTTTAGGTGAGTCTGGGAGGGGGCCCTGAGATTCTGCATTTCTGATAAGCACTCAGGTCATGCTGAGGCTACTGGATCATATATCTCTAATTCCAGTAGTAAGTCTGAAAATGACATTTTAAAAAAATAACCAGAGTTTCTGAAGCATAAAAAAAAAAAAATGATGTGTCGGACAGCCAGAGTGATCGTGAAAACACGACTGGGCAGCTTTTTGAGTAGCACCCTTTAGTAGCTGACAGTACATGATGATGATTTGGGGGATGGAGTCAGGGAAATGGGTGGATGGATTGTGGATGATGTGAAATTGGTGAAGATTTACCCAACTGGAGCTTGGGTGTAAGTTGTCCACAGTCTGTGGAGATGAGATTAACTAGAGATGGTGTCAGTACAGGCCATGTCCACACTGGGCTTTCCTCTCCTGTCCTGGACAGAAGGCCACATTGTGGAAGGAGAGATCCCCCTCTAGACTGCCACTGTAGCCATTGACACTGAGGGAGAGTGAGCCTCTTTTTTGTACATGAGAGGACCTGGCTGGGCTCCTCTCCACCTCCAGGTTGTAGGCAAGCACTGTCTCTGGAGGCAGAAACATCTGACAGTGCACTCTGGAGACTGGGGGCTGTAAGACAGAGGGTGCAGCAATAGGGCCACTATCAGAGGGGCCAACATGGGCAGCTTTCCCTTCAGACTGGGTAGCTTAGGGGAGGCTCAACTCCTTTAAGAGGTGGGGAAGGTCCTCCTCCAGGTGCAGGCCACGGATACAAGAAAAGCATTAGCCTGGAAATCTATGCCATGAAGAACACTGTGCTACAGAAAAAGAGAATGCCCCCAGGTACCACCACTAATAGAATATCCCCACACCCATGTTGCTGTCACAATGCTGCTAGCCAAGGGGTCCATGAGGAATGATTTTTGCCTTCTTTACCCTGATAATAATTGTTCAAATTCCTGAGTATGTTAAGAAATAAAAATATTATTTAGAGAGAGGGGGGTTAAGGATTGGATTTTTACAGAGTGTATGAGCTGGGTCTAAGCAGGAGGGAAGGTCAGGAGCAATGTAGAAATCAGGTGGAAAGTCTCAAATCTGCCAGGTGCTGGAGGCCAGATACAATTTGTCTTCCTTGTTGCTTGCACCCAGCCCAGGGATCACTCCAGCTCTGCTGATGCTTGTTCACATAATCAGAAGCTTTGAAGTATCCAAAAATGTCATTTCCATAGGAAGGGGTCTGCACAGAACCTCTTGAGTTGGTAGATAATGGGTTACATCTATGTTTTCTGTTTCTTTCATTCTTTCTAAATTTAATGTGTGGCTTTTTTTTTTAATAGACAGGGAAAATGTTTACTTAACAAGCACCCTTAAGTCTCAGTCAGATAATGTACATCACATCACTTGGTGAATTTAAAGATGCTATGTCGGGCTCTTGTTCCTCTTCACTGTTAGGAGATGTGGTGAAATGGCACTCAGACCCCTGTCCAGGGGGTTGGCACTCAGACCCCTGTCCAGGGGGTTGGGGGCCAAGGCAGACTTTCAATCTGCTGCTTTGCTTGAACTCCCAGAGGGGCCCTGTGGTCCAGCCACAGAATCAGTCCTGTATGGAGGGGCCAAGGAAGACACAGATCTTTCTAGATTGGGTTCTTTCTTCCTTCCTCTCTCTTTCTTTCTAAAGATATGCATTAATTATTTTATTATTATTATATCCCCTAATTTTCCCTGAAATTTTCTCGAGGACAAAATTCACCATTTTAAGGTGTATGAGTCAGTGGATTTTAGCAATTCACAGTCTTATGAAACCGTGACCACTATCTAATTCCAGAGCATTTCTATTACCCTCAAAAGAAACCCTTTTCCCATCAGCAGCCATTCCCCATGTCTGCCCTCCCTCATTTCCCGAAGATCACTAATCTACTTTCTATCTCAATGAATTTGCCTGTTCTGAATATTTCTTAGAAATGGAA